GCTTACTTATGACTCATTGTTAGCTCACGTACAATATAATTCGTGGTTTGAACCCGACCAACGGATTCCACAATTTTACGTAAATAATTAAATTGACAGAATTAGTCACGGAAGTGTTGGGCTATCTCACTGACAGTAAATAAATCCTGCAAAGAATTACACAGGGTGTTTAAAAAAAAAAGAGTACGTAACTTTATAAAGTCATGAAAACAAAATTAAAAAAGAGCCCTTTACTTTAAATTAGTTTAAAAAACAAGATGTACACGTCGTCGAAGTGTTAAATATTATAATAAGTTAATAAAATCTCTCAATTCCAAAAAGTGCTGAAGTATTTTTACAATTTGCCCATATTTCTTTAATGGGCGGAACAAATATGTCGCACACTAACGTTAAAAAATGTAGAATATTTTCCAAGCTTATAAATAACTTTGGTGAACCTATTCTACATCAGGTTCATCTGAACTCTACGCGGTCCAAGGCCGTGACATTCCTGTCAACATAGCTCTATCAACAACACTTTTAGAATAGCTTTGCATAGCATTAAATTACTCCAAAGAAAATTAAATAATTAAATTATAATGTTTTCTCCGAAGAAAATTACATTGAATTAATACATATATTATATTAATTTCAATATGTGGTCTATAAAAGTATTTAAAATCCATATATTTATAATAAAAATGTACTCATTGAAAAGTAGATATTTTGAATTTCGATATAACACATGACTGAGATATCCATTTCCATTACAAATATCCATTATCAAATTATCTATTACATTTATTAAAGTAATAGATATAAGGTAATTCTGGTGAAGACGACCATATCTTCATTGAAATGCATTTAAATGAAAACTAAAAAAATAGAACGCCAGATTTGATTTCTAAATAAACTTTAATTACTTTCTTATAAAATAACCAACGAGAATTACAATTACAAATTACAAAACATAAATTGTAATCGTAATCGCATCGATTGTTTATACAAGATAATTGAATTAGCCATCTACCCTGGAATTATTCTATTGTATTAGCTTTAATATTCAATTAAGCTCGACTCAACAAAGGCAAAGAACAAAAACTTGAAAAATATCAACCCTTTCGAACGCGTTTCATTAGTGCAACGACTCCAAGTTTCGCGGAACATAAAACATGCACGAGGCAACGAAAACTGCATTTAGGCGGTTTCTTTGATACTCATCCTCACAATGAAACATTTGTCGCTGTTATTCGTAGCTGTCAAACCGAGACCAGCCGTCACGCATCGAGAAAGTAACAGAGCCTGGTTTGCCCCGAAATATTCACGACAAACAATCTAAATTTAGGTAACGAAGGGGGTAGCATCTTTTATGTAGCTTTAGTCGTTTTAATCCGACAACTCGTTTCCGTCACGAAGACCTTTTCTTCTTCTTTCAATACAATTAGCGTTCTTTAATCTTTATTTTCAAAAGTAATTTTAGTAAGTTCGAGGAATTGACGAATGTAATGTCTCCTAAGTTATAAATAAATTCTGGATTTAATGCATTTTGACTATCTATGATTACCTAATTTATTTTGTTTAATTGAATAAAAAATTTAACGAGTTTAGTACAAAGTCTATCCTATTTGAAATTTAAGAGAACCTTTGTAATAAACTGTTTCATTATAAAATAACTAAGACAAAATTGATTTTATGAAACTATAGTAGATACTATATCAAATATATAATATATACTATAGGAGAAAATTACATTTTCATACAATAATTTTATATAATTATTTTTTAATGTTTAATATCATTCTGAACACAAAATTAGAAACAGATAGTTTTACAGATTAGTTAGCAAATTATGTATTGGATATATACAATTAACATGTTTGCCATCAGCGTTTGTTTCAGTGACAACTTTTTCAACTTTCATCTATTCAATACAACAAATTTTCTAAAAGAAATATAGAAAAAATAAAACCAAAATGAATGATTGAGTTCCTAAATATAATGCAGTATCTTATAACTTCAAATAACAATATTTACAGATTTAATTTAATTCTATATAAAATTTTTTAATGAAATTAATGCAATTAATTTAATCATTTTGTTTATGTAAAATGTAGGATTACGGCCGTTACAAATATGTGACGTTGGTAGCGAACGTGTTAATCAGCAATTCCAGTATCATATAGGAATATAAAAAGAGATTAAAGGTCTTTTCCTAAACAAGCATACAATAGACGCCCAGCAAGGGGGAAATATACCTGCTGCTATTGTTGGGAGATGATTTGATGTCTAGGGGCAAGAGGTGTCCTTCTGGTTTACAGTTTTATAATTTTGATTGGTTAAGTATAACCATACTGACGAATAGTAAATTAGCAATCGAAAATATTAGAAATTAGGAAATAAAACCAATAGGAAATTGGGTGAGAAAAATGAAAACATGAATCAGCCGAATTCCTCAGTTTAGCTATCAAGTGATTTCGTAGCAGTACACATCGTATTACAATGCTCTTTAACCCCTTGCCATACAATGATGAGTGAAACTATTTACTATGTAAAAAACTATTATGCTATTATTTATTTATTACCTTCAAAGTAGATTTGGACTTGTAACGGAATAGAACATTTGTTCGCATTCCTTCCAAATTGTTAATAGCAAGATGTTATAAGCTTAATAACAAAAGTAAATAATGCGGCAAGGGGTTAACACTCGAATTACAAAAATTTATTTATTCTTTGATCCTGGAAAAGTTGATGTTCGTTTATTTCGATCTTGGAAATTAGAGATTTAAAAATAGATATGCAGAATAAATTAGAGATTTAAAAATAGATAAGCAGAACAAATTAGAGATTTAAAAATAGATAAGCAGAATACATGTTCATGCAACTGCGTCAATCAAAATTGATATAAACCAAATACTGTTTATAAACTTCTATATGCGTCAAATTAACGCGTCCTATAAACTTAGTATTAAATATCTTAGTATTAATTATTTTTCAAAATTCTAACATATCTTTTAGCATAAATCTTTTCAAAGATACACACTTTAAGAAAATACAAGGAAAGCTTGCATATACCATTCAAAACACTTAGGATAAATAAACGCTAATCTGAGAAAACGAGGAAAAGAAATCCAAAAACAATACGTAGCCATCATTTTTTTCTAAGTATATATGAAGGTTTTACACTGTACCTACTCGTTTCTATAGAATAGAGACAGTATAATACGATTTCTGAAGGTATTAATGACCAGGGATGTGTTTAGAAAGCGATGCAAGTAAAGTAAGCTACATAAATACCGTTATACAAACTATTATGCTCTATAGAAATCTTAGAGTAGATTATTCAAATATGTACACAATTTTGAAATAAACACGTTGAAAGCCAAGAAAATGGTCGATATTTATTCACGGATGAATATTCTAATATTGACCTTTATTTAGGGAAAAATCCAACAGTCGTTAAAACTTCAGTTGTTTTGAGCAGTGTTGGTATTATCAATATTTTGTTAATCCCAACCGACAAGTTATCTCGACAAATATATTTACCAGTATACTTGCTTCAATTTTTGTTTTTTATTTATTTGAGAAAAAAAGTATTAAATTTAAATATGCCACAATATCTGTGAGAACGTTATTTTATTATTTATATTTTTTACAATACATTTCCTTTCTTTAAAAGTAAATTGTACATAAACAAATATTTGTATATATTATACCCAAATAATATAAATTTATTTGTGTTTCCATAATGTTTAACTTTGTTAGAGTCTGTAATAGTCAAAACATTTATTCCTTACTCAAATATTTAAGGTGTTAATTCTTAAACATTACTTAAACGATGTTAATATTAAGATATTATGTTCTGACTGATTAGGTACGCAGCATCAACGATAGAGACAATTATTCACGTGATTGTATTATTTTGGAATGCAGTAACCTTTAACTCAATCATTTAATTTCACAAAGTTAAATTAAATCTTTTTCCGTTAATAATTTAATATCTAATTATCTTTCAGTTACCCTTCAGTTTATTAAACATCTATTGATCTTGATTCATTAATTAGGAATTTAATGTAAAATCTTTACGACATCAATTTCCCTTACCACAAGTTTCTTGGGGTCGAAACAAATCAACTAGTGAACGAGTTAAATAAGGACAGATATGTAGAATTAGCATTATATAAAACAGAACTGTTATAAACTCATTCATTATGAAAAGCCTTAACAAACATTGGTAATGAAACAAGTCATCATGTTTAGATTATTAAAATATACATGTAAAAAGTAAGAAGACAGAAAGAATATCAAAGAAATTATTTATCTATTAATTGTAGATACACAGTTAATTGTTGATAATAACAATATACCAGATTATATCAATATAAAGGCGCATTGAATTATTGTAACGATCAAATAACCAAGAAAATTGAAAGACGGTAATAGTTTTCGAACTTGCGTGATGTTAACCCTTTATAGTCCTACACAGAGTGTATCTAGTAACTGGGATGGGCCATAACTCTGTTTTTATTGAAGTTAAAAAGGAAATCGTAAAGAACAACTTTGCAGTATTTGACAGGCTTTATCATACTATTATACCAATTTTCTCATGAAAGCATATATGCAGTTGGAAAATGTAATTGGAACTCTATATTTCAATAGCTACATATTTACCAATTTTTTGCTTCATCTACTTATAATATCATAATTATGGCTTACATAATTACAATTTTACTGCTGCTCAAATATTTCTAAATTAATTTAATATATCACTTCAGTTACTTATTCAGTTAAATAAAGTAATATTGATGCAAATACTCGAATAAATAAACAAACCAAGAACATTTCGGAGCACAGAGGGTTAATGTTAACTACAAGAATACGTTACACCAAAGTATAATTGAGCCAAATACATTTAACGATTAAACTAAGACAATTATTAGATAACCACAACATTAGGGGTCGCGTGATGTAACAAATATTTCCAGCAGCGTAAGTCCTACAGATAGAGGGGTGCCAGTACTCACTTTCGAAACGGGCTGTAAACGCTACCCCATACGCCAGTCCTGGTCGGCGATGGAGGACTGTTCTGTTGCTGATTGGAACATCCGTAGCCCGTGGAAAACATATTGCGGTAATTGTTCCTCATCAGTACATTTAAAAATAACGTCTGTACAAAATACTACTGATCGAAAGATTGAAACGTGTGCGTGTCCTCCCCGCCCACCTCCTCAGGTCCGAACTACTTTCGCGGTATTAGAAAACGAACTTACAAATTAAAAAAAAGGACTGTATAAAAACCAACCGTCAACAACAAACGTCAACAACATACACACTAAAAGAGATAATACTATGAAAACTTGTACTTTCAATGAAACACTTTGGCACGTTTATTTGGCACAAGGGTTGTCGATATGCTCGGACGAGGGTCCTTAAGCTGGCATATCGACTTTGATAAGTCCCGTCAGTCTTATGGATTACCGTCGAAAGTGAATTTCCAACGGTTATCGTCTACAGAGATATATATACCGGGTGGTCGGAACAGTCTCCGCCGCGAACGTAACCGTGTTAGCACGAGCGACGCGTGTGCTCCTGGACCGATCAATGAGATGATAACTCTCGGGTTAAGACGACACGCTCGTTCTATCGCGGCGCGATTCCCTATGCTAGATGTCCGTGTTCACAGCTGTCCCTCCAAGATACGCGTACACAGTTCGATTGTAATCGACGGTATAAAAAAAGTCAACAATAAAAAACACAGAGTCTAGAGCTAGTCCACCACCGAACACTGCACTCCGTCACTGAATCAGCAGTTTGTACATGAACACCATCCGCTTGGATGAAGGCGACCGCTTCCTCGCTGGTTTGTTCTTCTCCATTATGAATGAAATGATTATCAAATGTGGCGGGAAGCGAATTGTATCGAACGGCTGGAACGCGTTTCCGATCAACTAGTCGTGGAACTAGTCTGTGTCTAGTAATAAACGCGTTTATCCTCTGACGTCGCGCGACACCTCGTACTCCAGCAACGGTTTGAACGAGACTGAAGCGGCCCAGCCCGCGGAGAGATCGGGAGGCAGCGCAGGGAGCAGCGTGAGCAGAGGGTTTAAGGTCGGGGAGATATACGCAGCTGTGGACCATTGGTAGGAACGAGACGGGTGTACTGCGCCCTGCGCGGCTGAGATAAGGAGAGGGGAGAAATCGGGTTCCGTATATAAAGAGCAAGAGGGTCCCGAGATAAAGAGCAGACGGTGCTCGGGCACGGAGGTGGAGACGACAAAAACAGATATCAGCGGGGTTGTGAGCAGACGAAATGAAACGCAACGGACGTCGGAGCGGAGCGTATCGGTCAAACGCAGTGCTTCTCATTGGGGCCCACTGGACGCGCGAATGAGACGGAAATAACGCGGGTGGAAATATCTAATCTCTTTGAAGACTTGATTTTTCAGGGATGGACAGAAATGGTTTGAGTTTCTAGTCGGTTGTACCTTACGCGGATTGCATTGAAGGACTGAGTAAGAAAATGATTGTGGACGTGTATTTTGAGAGGAGCTCATTGAATTGAAAGAAATTGGGCTAAATAAATGAAAATGGTTGTGAACGTGTTTTAAAGAGCTCCTGTAGATGTAGAGATTATTGAAATTTAACTTATTGTTGACTGGTTGCAAATCATATTGCAATAGAATAAAGTATTCTAAAGTTATAGAATTTTGATTAAAGTTAATATTTTTTTGATACTATGATACGTTTCTTAATATTATATCGTCCAGAAATAAATTGCGGTTCTTAAGTTTTAATTTGTGTGATTTCATTTGAAATAAATTTATTTAATAAAAATAACATCCGTTACAATTGATAGTTCTCCTGACGAAGCTCTTTTTGTTCCATTAGTTTACAAATTTCATGATGTAGATTCTATTAAATGAAACTTGCTTTTGCAAAATCAACCGTATTATAAAAGATTTCTTCAGATTCAGTTTGAGGAACTTTTAAAACGTTAAATATACGTGACAATAATAATTTTGTCTAGTGTAACTTTGGTCGTGTACAGTGTTTTGAAGCTTCATCATAATGTAGCTATTATCATATTTTCAATCGCATACTTTCGTATACTATCCTCGTAGAACAAAAATTTAGTAATAATTTCTCCACATTCAGTTTATGAGGAACCCACATGTTTACCTTTTTTGTTTTTCTTTTAGATAATTAGAAAATACTGTTTTACGCCAGCTTTTAATAAATTTCCAAAACTGACACAAATACTATAATTTTCATAAATAAATTTTTTCCGTGTGTTGTCACCAATGATCTTGCTTGATCTTCCTTCTCTTCAAGATCTTCATCTTAATATACTAATCACCGCTATGAAATCTTTGAAACCAAAACTGCCCTATTCTGTTAGTAGTTGTATTTGTACTAAACGCATCATTAATTGTAGTTTCTGATTACTACATTACGTCCCATTTTGAAGTCGTATAAAAAAGTTATGCAACTTTTTTTTCCGCATGTGTATTTATAGAAATTAAGATTCAGCAAATGAACATTGAAAACAAGAGTATAACCGTTATTTTTTACTTTTATTTCAAATACAGCAATTTTTATATTGTATTATTTCTTCGACTAGCCCAAATTAATACCTATATATTATCTCTCTCCTTCTATAGTTTTCTGCTTTTCTTAAATTGTCAATCTGACTACAAAGAAATTCATATCTTAAGATTATTAACTCATCTTTACAATGTAAATTAATTATTTTTTATATTATAATAATAATGCTTTTAAAATTTCACCGTAATACAACACATATATTATTCTTCAAAATTAAAAAATATACGCTACATATAAATTTTAAATAACTAATATTCTAGCAAATTTATTTCCGAAATAAGTATAAGCGTGAATTCAAAAAACAATTCAGATAGTTTAGACTCTTTCTATTTCGGTTAATACAGACATTATGTTTCCAATACCATATGATAAATCAGTATTAGAACATTTTAAATATTTTATGAACGCTTTAATTAATATTTAAATGGGTAAAACAAATTTTAATTAGTAATTAAATATTAATACTGAGTAATAATACCAAAGTACCAAAATAACTGCATGAACTATTTTAATATTTAATTCTTCCATGACCAGTAAAACTGTATCATTAATATTTCCTATATAATTATTTTATGCTCTATTTCCGATTGATCGTAATTGATACGTTGTCACTTAATGAATCGTATCCATAATATTGGCGGAAAATGTGTCTACTGAAACTGAGGAATTTCATGAATCTGACGTGTAATATGATGGTTAAATACACATCCGTCATTGCTCAGTATATCTATCACCCGTTTTATGATTCCACATTTCTGATAAAGTAAATTCTAAGAAGTATCCCAAGAAACGTCGTTTTTTATACTATATAAATCATCATTAGAAAAATAATTTACAGTCATTTAAAATCAATGATCAATACTTAAGATGCATAGTTAGAGTATAGTCCAATGATTATATTGTAAATTACCTATCTAGAGGTGAAAACAATCATTGAAAGTACATACATATCAGTACTCAAAAGTATGGATTTTTATTTTTACTTTATTCTTTCCTTTTAAATAATGAATAATTATTCATCAATAATGATGTACCAACAGGAAAATTAATGCGGCTAAAATCGCAGGTAACTGCTAACGTTCTCGATAAATTAAAACATTATTTAAAAAAATATTAATAAATTAATATAATAAAATAATATTTTTTATTACTATTTGTAATATGTTTTACAGAATATTTTAAGTTTATTTGTACAATATTGAGTTTAACAAAAAATTAAGTTTTCTATAGTTTTGGTATTTTACTTTTTCCTTTTTTTAGTTTTGGTAGTTTGAGAACCACTATGTTTAAAAGTGACTCTAACCCAAACTTAGGAGATAACTATTTAAATAAACAGTATAAGAATTGAATGATTACAATATATATTATGAAAAATGTAAATTGTAAATATTATACATATATTTACTTTATTAATTAATGAAACATTTCTTCAAATATTTAACTTATAATTATTGTTACTTACAATTATAATTATTACAATGTTTCACAAGCCTCTGTATATTTTGTACATATGAGAATTAACTCAGAAAATATTTGACTTCAGTTTTTGTCAAATGTACGTATGTACATATTTTTGTTATTATTATAACTATAATATTATGATATAATTTTAATTTCAAATCGTGCATCCTATATTTGAAATATATTATACTTAATTATGACACTATTATTTAACTCTTCTTATTCAATACCAGTATTTTCAAGAAAATAGTTATCGTATTTTGGTTCAA